ATTTGCTCAAAGGACCAGGGAAACTGAACAAAACCTGATCGAGATGGGGTCATTGGCCTAGAGAAATACAATACTTGTTACAGTTAGATTAAGATATTATACAGTAGATAAAATTATCTGCTAATAATTAACATTTCAATATGATATTTTAATGCTACTACTTATAATAATTATATTAATAATAATTACATTAATAATAATAACTACATTATAATAATAATTACATTAATAATACATATCGATTATGTTTGCAAACTACATCAAATTTAACAATAGTAGTACATTCTATATTTATAACCTTGAAATGGTGAGGAGGCAAGTTTTGACCAGTTTTTCTTCTATTCTCCTTCTATTTCACAGGATGTGATATGCAGTCTTTTTTCTTTACTTCAGCTTGAAACAGTTCACATGAAACAGAAAGTCTAATGGAATAAGAAATTCTTATTTATTTATATTTTTTTAGGGAAATGTAATTTGAAAATTCCTTTACACTGTAGAACATTTTAAGCAGGAAAGCTTTCAATTACTTTTAAATGTATGAATTGTGTTTATGTCTTTGATATCAATTGCCTAGTTTGTTGTAAAGTGTAATGCCCTCTATTAGGGTACTTTTTTGATAAAGTGGAGTTTCAGAGTGGGGAATGTGTAGGTAATCCTTTGACGGGTGTTGTAGTTATGTACATCAGAATTTAAAGTAAACGCGTCTTTGTTTTCCATGAGAATTTTCTTTGTGAAGACCACTATTTTCAAATATGTACATGCATGTAGAGGAAGAATCCTTAGTTTATTAAACAAGGGTTTGCATGACTCCAGCTTATGAGTGCTGGTCATTGTTCGCAGTCTTATATGTCGCAGCTTATTGAGTGCTGGTCATTGAACCTCATTAATGAATACAAGGATTCTTTGGAGGAAAAAAGATCATAGAAGATCCATTTTATGTATGTTTAAATTCATTTATAAAAGTTACCTAAAAATAATTGGCTCAAACATTACACAAATAATTAAACACATGTTTCTTACTAGTTAAATTAGCACTGATTCCTGCCTATGAAACAATTGTCTCTTTAACCCCATAATTTTTCCCATATTGTTTTCTCAATCTTGCTTTGCAGATTAAAATACCACTTTGAAGAAGTAAGACATTTTTCTAGTCTTATTTTGACTTTTACACAAGGTGGAGAATGAAATCCTGTGTGTAGATATTGAAAAGATTATAAAGCTATGACTCCTTCTCATTGTTCCAAAACTTTAATTCAGTTAAAAGAACCCACTGTGAGAGATTACATTGCGAAAGAAAATATTTTTATTGTTGGTTATTAAAGCTGAAGTTTATGATACAGTTCGTGCTGAGAAGTGGTCATTAGATCTGACATTTTATGTTCAACAGGATATTGCACTGCAATAAATGAGATGACATACCCTTCAAATTGATGTGAAATTTACTGGATAATAATAGTTCTGGTCCTGCAGTTAATATTCTGATGGAATATGTTTTCTTATTTGTTTTATTTATAAATGTAAATAAATTTATTAAAAAATTTCAAAAGAGATATGGCACAAAAAGTAAAATTGAGAATGTAAAATGATATAATTCAATATGACATATCAAAGCCAATGCTTGTGCATGGGGTCAGAAATTTGGACAATGAATGGAGGGAGCAAGAAAGATTAGAAGCTACACAAATAATATTCTTTCATCACCTTGCACGACTCACTCAGATGGATTGGCAAAGAAGTTGAGCAATTTTAAAAGATTTAAGGCAAAGAATGTAATAAAAGAGACAAGGGAGGTTAAGAAAGATCTTCTCTTATATTAACTAAATGAAAGAGGGAAAGACTATTGAAACACAGTGTTAAGTTAAAAGTCAATAGGGCAAAACCAAAGTGGTTATATTAGAAATATTTGGAGGATTTAGCACCAAAGGTATATTTCATCATTGATTTGTTCTGTGTAAGGATAATAATATAATTTGAAAATGAATTGTATCTGATACATCCATTGAATACATATATACATTTACTCAATATAATCTACTTATACCTATCCATTTCATGCAAGGTTTGATCACAAATTTTTATTTAGATGGGAAATATATTGAGGTAATGTAATAGAAAGTTGAGGAATACCAGATTGTACAATACAATCTAGAACAATGAGAAAAAACGTATATAATTATTCACGTATTATTGGCTGAACTTAAACCAATAAAGTCAATGTTCTTGACATGATGAATTGCAGGGGAACTTCTTACCTGACAGATGTGTATGCAGCAGAAGATACTCGTTTGCTCTGAGACCCGACTGGGAAGACCCCACTGGCCACGTGATGAAATTTGCATCGAGGAAGGAAAAGACCAGCGTGTGTTTTTTGCGTTTCAGGGGTGAAGGCATTTTTTGTTAGTTTGAAGGAGCTTTTTAAATATAATTTACTGTTTTTAAAAATAAAGCAAGAGGCTTTAGTAAAGAATGATGCTAAAAACAATGTATACTTGCACACATTACAATGAATTGATAGTAATATTAAGGAGTAACCCAGGGACTTCTTGATAAATCCACAAGTTGCAAAGCACCAAGATTTTATTGATAATTCCTATCGCACACCCAGGCAATTTTAGTATTGATATTTTATAGACAAGTACAGGAATAACTCAAATAAAACCCTGTTAAACAAACAAATAAGAAATGATGAAAGATATAAAATTGTACTGAAACGTTCTTCTACTGTGGGATGAATTTAAAACCCCACCCAGGTATTATTTAAACAAAACGTGTATTAGTAAAACAAGTTGCACCTAAAAATATACTTTAGTTTATTTAACCAATATTTTTCACTGTTCCTGTGTCTTGCACTTTTTTCGCTTATACACAAACTCCGTTCTCATTGATTAATTTATTTACACTGTTCACTCTTCTCATACACTATTCGCACAGTTCCATGCTACCGCCCTCACGTCGTCCACTTGCGCTGAACCACGAATTCACTGTGCGCAGATCAAATTCACAGCCAGACCACAATTCAGCTGCGCAGGACCAGGGTCACCTTGCCACTGCTGTTTTACCGCGATGCACACTTCACGCTCAGCTTTCCACTTTAGACTCAGATTGCTGACTGCTGTTCACCACTGCACCACTGTTTTCACCGCCAACGCAAGCAAATTTATGCCTGGGGGCTGGCGTCGTCTCGACACAACCCGCACTTCCTCCACCTTTGTACGCAACTCCGAATAACCGTTCCCGGTGGCAAGGGGGACACCACACGGGGTTGTTGTTGTTATTATTATTATTATTATTATTATTATTATTATTATTATTATTAATGAAATGATGAAAACTAAACAAAGATCATTTCTAACCATAGATAAATCTTCAATTGATATGATTGTCAAATGAAATTAACAATAAAACACAAATATCTTTATATTTTTGACAATCAATAAGGTAATTCATCAAAAAAGTATTTATTGTATAATCATGACATTTCGTGTGTAGGTGTCACGCATCGTCAAGTGTATATAAAAAACGTTAGACATATTTTCATCTGAAAGTAAAAATGACAAAAAAACTCTTTTGAAGACATTGAATACAAATTTTTAAAATAAGTAACAAAAAACAGAATGAAAGTCATTAAAATACGAGTTTAAGAGAAAAATGTAAGTAATGAGCACAAAATATAAATTAGATGGGAGAGAACTTACCAAAACATGTTAAAATAAGCAGACATCTTATTTGTAAAACATATACAAATGTTTCTTTCAAAATATTTTTAAACAAAGGATAATTCCATTACCTATAACTGAAAAAGTTCCCCTTACAAAAACATACATTCTCACTGTATAGAGAGAGAGAGGCAAGTATGGGCAGAAAGGAGCCCACCAACATTTTCTCCCCACACTTGCCTCTCTCTCTCAATCATCTCTCTCATCTCAATTACATTTTCAAAAAAGAAAAACTAACTCAACATTAGTCTTAAATATTTTGGCAGTGGCAACTTTGCTTGTTTTATGTTTTGAAATTATCTTCTTTTCTTTCTACTTTTTTTTTATTTAAAAATATTTTTTGTTTTACATTATGATACGATCTTATTTAAACATGTTTTAGTAAGTTTTCTTCCATCTAATTTATTTTTTGTGCTTGTGTTTTTTGTTACTTATTTTTAAAATTTGAATTCAATATCTTCAAAACAATTTGTAATTTTTATCTTCAGATGAAAACATGTCTGATATTTTATGTGCACACCTGATAAGGTATGAAACCTATATGCTAAACATCGTGATTGTAAAATGCCACTTTATTGGAATTTCAACTCGACTCAAAGCTCTCTTGGAAATTCTATAACAACAAAGAGTGTTCTCCTGAGTCAATTACCTTTTACGAAAACTGAGGTCTTTGTGTTTCTCTGAAAATCATGAAGTACCATGTCTTTTCCAAAGCCACATATCATATGGTCTTCACATTTGCAGTCATCCTCCTTATATGCTTTTAATGCAAAAGAGAGCAATTAGGATTGTGTTGAACAAAAAAGAAAAATGAACTATGAAGACTACTATTTGTACAACAAAATACTTACATACTTATTTAGTCTATACATCTCTGAATACCTCTTATTTACTTATGATAACATTCAAATTAAGAACTCCTGATATTCATGAACTCAACAATAGGTAAAAATTGACAGTGTTTTTTCTTAGATGCAGACTATCACTAGTTTAAGGAACTAGCTTCTGTAATGGTGTTAATTTATTTAATAACCTCCCAACCCTCAGTACTGCAGTGCCCCTCAGTACTACAAGGAAGAAATTTAAAAATTTTGTTTACAACTGACTGTTGGGAAAACCATTCTATAGATGACCTTTCTGTTATGGAAAAGAGCTGAATAATAAATGCACAAATCAGAGAACTGAAAAAAATAGCTATCATTTTGAAATGGTGATTCCTGAAAATGAGAGAAAGCAAATAATTGTTACATGTCAAAGGTGAATGAACATAAAAATTGGGCTTACCTGGATCTCGAGTAATATGGAAAGCTCTTAAGGCTGCTGTTAAAAATTGCTCAACATTTGACTGCCGGGGAACAGTTACCACACGAAAAATTCGTCGGCGATATGAAATGTTGCCATCATAGACCTTGATACTCTCTGCAAAGAAATAGTGTTTTTCTTATATTCTTACAATTTCACAAATACTAGTCAATACTTTATTGCTCTCTCGGGCCATTTATAGTTACAAAGTGTTATGAGTCAAATTATTTTGGGGCCCCATGGTTAGTATAATGCATACTGAATACTACAATTATTTCTAATAATATAGAGTATGAAGCCAAGAAAAATATTTTCACGCATGATTGGAAACTCATTATTTTAAATAAATATTAGATTTAGAGCAGGTTAAAAATAGAATTGAATTTGGCTCTTTTCATTCTAGAACAAATATTTTACACAAGTTGTGTCAACTTCTTGTCATTAGATGAAGAGAAATGTATCTTTAAGAAAACCTGAAACATGAATTAATTTTTATAATATTTTTAATGATTCTTATAAAATTGAATTGAATTTTTTAAAAATATTCTTCAGCCTAATTTGAGGGTCTTTAAAATTTGGGGATCCTGAGCAGCCCTGAGCCTGAATGGACTCATATGTTAAAGTAGGTATTTGGATGTTAGTTCAGAGAGTATTACTCGCGCAACTTTTCTTGAACAATGGATTGAAGAAATGTGGGTAGAGTGGGGATATTAGATATGAAATTGGCTACTAGATTTTATGTAACAATGACAATCTCTGAAGAGTCAGTCATGCCTTTGCAACATTCTCAATAATTTGTGTTCTAACTTTCTCAGGAGTTCAAGGTGTCGCCTATGATAGACTTGACCTGCTGTGGTGACCTGCTTCGGTCATTTCTTTAGATTTTTTGGAGAAAATAACAGAAGTCCTTGCTTTCAAAAGTAAATTGTCTCTATTTCATGCCAGTAAAGGCGTGCTTGGAATGTTGTCATCAGTGCTCGCTGCCAGCTTTTGCCTTCAACTGTTTATTGTGCCAGAGAGGGGGAAGCAAAGTCATCGTTCAAGAAAAGTTGCGTGAGTGATATCAGTTCATCCATAATATTAAAAATATTTATCTCACTGATGACTTGTTATACTACACCACAAGAAATACATAAAATAAAATTTAAAATTTTTTTAAAAAAATTTAAAAATAAAAAAATAAAAACATTAGGTAATTTTATGCTTTTGAAAAAAATTAAAGATAATATATCCGCTCAAAAACCAGCAAGAAAAGAAATTATATGAGAAGTTTTTTCTTTTATATGAATTATTCTTTAGAATTAGTTAATGGGATTCAGAACAGCACTAATAGAATTTGATTTTCAATATCAAGCCATCATGCCATTTAAGTAGTGTTTGGACTATTCAATTGGAATTCATTTTTAAATGTGCATTAATATTGCATTATGTGAAAGTAAGATTGCAATACAAGAATGACTATTAGAAGAAAATAAGATCTTAAGAGTAGAATCTGGTTGAAAATAATTATTTACAATTTTCTTAAATATGAGAAAACATAAATTGTTAAATTGTATTTGGTTCTAGGTACAATGTACTGTTCTCAACCATTCAGAAAAATTAAATTATGAAATGCAAAACCTATTCGAAACAATTTGCATAATTTTTTTGGTTAACATTTTTTTCTCTAGCTGTGCTAAGTGGTTATGTCTTTGGCAACATTTAGATAGTTAATTGTCAACTACTTTAACAAAATCGTAATTTCTATTTTAGTAGTGAATTCAAAATATTGACCAATGGGTAAAAATGTGATTACTCTTGGCTAACTAGGCAATCCTGTGTCAACCACTGGTTGGTTCAATATCAAGCCATCAAGCCATCATATTGACAGCAAAAATGCATGCCCCTGAAGAATGCCCATTTGGATGATCAAAATGTTTGCAAATTGGCCTGGAACAAGTCCTGGACAGCCAAGGGCAATCATAGGACTTTAGTTAGTCAAGTCCATGCTTTCAATAGATAAAAATGTCTTCCACTAAGATATTAGAATTAAAAAAATTAAAAGGAAAGAAAGAAAACAACAACAACAACAACTAAACATCATGTTTGGAAAGGAACACAAACCTTCTTCTCGATCTTCTTTTTCTTTATCCTTGCCACGTGCATGAGGGTAGTCATCATCACGGTGCTTGGTTATATCCCCACTGCTAAAATCGTCCGAGACACTAGTAGCTACCAAAACAAACAAAACACCACACAACGTTATACACAAACATCTCTTGTACAATTTCTTATCATGTAATTATAACTTAACCTTCTTATTACATATATCATCTAATAGATTCCTTCTACAGATTACGAGAGGACATGCAGCAAACAAACTCCAGGGGAAAAAAAAATATTAAAAATAACTCTATACAAATTATGTTATACCTGAAATGTAGAATACTTTTGAAAGACTTCTCTGACATTTTGCACAACCTGCATTCAAAATACAACATGTATAATGATACACATTAGGAAAACTTCATTTCACATGTTTCACAGAAATACAAAGTTAAAACACAGCTTAAAAGAGATTAATGAAAGGTCACAAACCACTCTTCAAACACATTTACAAAACTTCAATATGGCTACTATGTTTGTGACTCATTTTTATTTAGACAGAAGACAAACACAATGAATGACAACTTAAATGATAAAGTAATTTAAATTTTATATTTGTCAGGGTGTATAAATATGATAAAGAACAAGTAACTTTTTTAATTGAAACTGAGAAAAATGTATAAAACATTAAGCTGCTGCATTATTCTTAACATGCAGTTTATATTAACAAGTACGATTTAAATATTTTGTTATTTGTTTAATTGAGTGTGATGTCAGAAACTGGTTTAGAAGTAGATGGTGACAAAACATGTGGCCAGGTAACTCATTTTTAACTTTATTATACCTCTCATTATACAGATATCTAGAATTTGTTTCTAGAACTAATTTTTCTATTTTTGAAGATGATTATCACAAAATACTTGAGTTACTTTTAGCTTATTATTATTATTATTTTGTTTGTTTTTGTTTTGTGTTTGTTTCATTAGGATGCAATTTACAGCAGCTTGACAACTGCAATGTCTCTTACCATGTACTGCAGAGTGCATCATGCGTAGGCATACAGCTGCTGCCCAGCACACAAAGCAGCAGGCAAAGCTTTGGACAACAACATGGAAGAAGCAGCTTTGGACAACAACATGGAAGAAGCAAGTGCATCATGCTGAATAGAACATCAACACACTCAACATGCTATACAGTCACCTAGAAAACAAAATAAGTTTGTTTTATTAGATTACAGTGATGTGGTAACAGTTTTTCTTATATAAATGGAATAAACAAGGAAATTAGTTTGAGCTCAGCAGTTTGCATCTGCTGAGAGAAAAACAACGAGCTCAGTCCCATAGTAGAGATCTTGTTGAGAACCTAGCTATTACCTTGATGATAACAGATAGCATGACATAAAAACATAAAATAATGTCTGTTCCCATTAAATGATAATTTTCAAAGCTATTTGTAAACCATACATTTTTAAAAACTAGTATGTGCACATTGATATAAACATCTATCTGCTTAAGAAAGCACTTCAACTTTCTCAAAATAAATGTGTACTGTGTATGAGTTATATACATATGTGTGTGCAATTAATAGAAATCTCAGAACATGGGAATGAAATTTAAGAAACTCTTTGTAGAATTTCCAATTCTAATAACTAATAGTTTTTACACATTTAAATAACTCAAACTTGAAAAAATATTTTCAATACTACATAAATATTCACATACACAGACCATGCCCTCACCAAATTACTAAATGATAACATTGTTTTTGAAGTCATGAATAATGTAATAGGAAATCTACAGTTTGGAAAAAGGCGATTTTTTCAACCCCTAATCACTTGAAATGAATAAAATAATTGGTATGGATAAAATAAACAGCAAGAAAATGTTTTATATGGTCAGGTTCTTGGCAAATTCAGCTACCATTGAAAGGTATATTTAATTAGTATAAGTTAGGATTTTTGGAGGCCCATGAACCAGTAGCCACCAATAAGGAAGGATTTAAGGAGCACATTTCTATTTGAGGAACTTATCTTTAAATATAATTGATGTATTCATTAAGTTTTAAAATGCTCAGTTGCAGTGCCCAAAACGAAACAAAACTGGGCCTGATTTGGAAGGGGAAATTAAGGATTCTATTCATCCCACCCCTTTGAGTTGACACGATAGGTGAGTCATGGCTGCTACCAGGTCAGATAAGCTTGCACTGCCTGCTGCTAGCGGGTGCCACAAACAGGTCATGCAGCGACACAGCACAGCCATGGCAGCAACCAGCGACCGACAGGGGGGTTCATGTACCTCGTATGTAGGGAGGGGAGGTGTGACAGTTGCCCTGGCAGCTGCGAGGCAAAACAAGAGACAGGCGCTTCATGACAGCTGAAACTCGGCTCCCTCTACCATCACAGCCTGCAAAATGGCAAAACTTGGCAAAAGTTCACTATAAACCAAGGCTTACAACATGGCCAAGCTGGAATGTGAGCCAAAGCGTGCATCGGACTGCCAAACTACAAATCTGTGGAAGACAGGCGTGGTCAACAATCAATCACTCAAAAAAAAAATTTCACTTGGGTTACTATTTTACACATGGGTAAGTCACATGACCATGGATTATCAACTTTAATTTAGTTTTGTTTATCACATCAATATTTCTGAGACTGATGTTCTAGTTCCATGATATTTGTATAAATATCCAGAACTGAAAAGTATGAATTGACTGAATGGCATGATTTGACAGCTTGTTGTTAGTATGCCATGAAAACATAAACTCCGGAGACTAATATAGTATTCTAGAAGGTTGCTGCTAAAAAAATTTGAATGATTTCTTGTTTTGTAAGAAAAACTACAGACATTTTTACTTTTTCTTTTGAAGTATTTTCCCTTAAAAAATACAGAACTAAAATTAAGTATTCATTGATTTTATATTCCATTTTGTATAATACGAAATAAATTTGGCCGAAACTATATAGTGAAGTTTTCTCCAATAAAAGTTCAAAGGTGATGAAGTCTCAGTTGATAATAGATCAGGCTTTTACCTAGTACTTGAGGTAAAAAGTTGGTAATTGCTCACACTTTTAACTTTTGAATTACCCCAACTGTCCTCATGATGCCAAGTCAACATATACACGCCAGGTTCCTCATTGAAACTTGGTCTTATGCTACATCTCATCATTGCAAGGATGAAAATATGAATGATATACTATTCATGAAAACTGAAAGAAATTTTAAGATATCAATAATAATAATAAGAAGAAGAGAAAAGTAGGTGAAACATTTTTTTAGAAGTGTTATAAATGATTCCCTCAAATAGCCTGCTTTAAAAAAATATTTTGACATTCATATTGCAAGAAAGTATTTTCCACATATTCATTTTCAAACAATTTGCAAAAATTTGAGGTGCTCCAAATCAGTTAATCCTGAAGGGAGGAATATAAAAAAAAGTATACCACAAATGGAACAGATATATACTGATCTAAACCAGAAACTTATTGTAAAAGAGTTATAAAAAGAATAAGCTAAAAAATTATAAACATGTAATAAATGTTCTGAAAGATAGGAAGATGATAGCTAGGTTTTCTTCATTTCGGAGGAAACAATTTTTACAAACCCACTGGAATCTTTGTTAAAATTATTTATAACTCAAGTTTAAAAAAATGAAAATTAATTTGTAATCTAAAACCATTTACTAAAGTCTACTGCATTCCACAACAACTACAATATGTCCATTGTTATCCTTATATCTTTGTGAGAGAAAAAATGCTTCATCTAATTTACTAGCAAACACAAGTGCTTTAGAAACATGTAAATGAAATATTAATGAAGTTCACTTTATAATGTGTTAATTAAAATTTTAACAAAATATATGTAGTTACATGCAATAACATTTTTCATTTTCAAAATAACATGTCCAGTAATAGCAATAAATTTTCATGCACTCTATGTTGCACTTTACATTACGTCCTACAAGTAACTCCTCTTTAATATTATTAATTTTTAACTTTATAAAACTTGTATCATTTGAACAGTTGATCTCTTCAAATAAGAAGAAAAATTGTTCTATGAGAGTAGATCAATTCAATTAAAAAATTTCAAAGGTATTTGTAAAAACATAATTTTAATACAGTTCACATTCATATTAGTGAAAAGTAGACTGGAGAAAAATGAAGATGTAAGAGAAATATCTCCCTTAACTTTGTTCTTGCTCAAAAAATGAAGCATTTCAATATACTGTAATTTTGATATGTTTTAAAGGCATAAAACAGAGAAAAAATGTCTTGGGTAAATTAAAAATTGAAGAGGAGTCACTAAAACTACAATGTGAATTAATTACTGCTAAATAAGTGAAAATAACATTTTTCTTATTTTGTTTGTGACCAAATATTGCTATTGCTACTATGAAGAAATGGTACAAAACATGCATGAGCACATAGCACAAACATAGCATTCCATTCAAGCAAAGTGAACAGTTCAAATATTAATTACTTGTTAGGGAATGTACTAATACTTTAGACCTATCTATATTTAGTGTCTGGTTAACTAATGACACTCTCACTGACAGGAATGGCACAAATTAAGTAGTATTTATAAGTAAATATTTGATAATATGAGGAGCACTAAGGAATAAGTACCCATTTTAAATTAAAATAAATATCCACTAATATAATTTAGGTCTTAATTAGAATACTTAATATAATAGATACGTTGTTTGATGGCCATCTAAATTGAAAGAAATTCACATTTTAAAAGTAACAGATGTATAAATAGTGAATGCTTAATAAATTCAAAAGACGTTCAATTTTTTGTATATCATATATGCTATAAGAACTTATATTTTATTCCATATGTTTATGTCATAGTAATTAAATTGTTTTCTTAAAATAATATTTAAGTAATTGTGTTGAACTATTTGTGTACAGTGAAGAAAAAATAAAACTGATGAAATCAAATCCATTAGAAATGTGTGCTAAGGAAATGTGTGCTAAGAAGAAGGTACTTTCATTCTTTTATAATACAGATACTTCAGGGTAAGTCACTTAGAATGACACACTTTTTTGTGTTGTTAGTAGAGATGTATCTAGGAAAAACTGGCAATGATAGACACTGATCACATGCCTCTGTTTGACCAATTTGTATTCCTATTAATGAACATAGAAAGAAAACTTTCTTAAACAAAATACAACTACTTCAGATATGTATTTAAGTAAAATTAAGATGTGTATTTTAATGCATAAACAGGTATAATGACATCATAACCCTCATGTTGCTAATAGTACATGGCAAGCTATTGAAGTCAAACAAAAAACCTAATGTACAGAAAAAATCTGATTGAAAATAGTGTTAATTTTCATAGAAACTTATGTACAAAATTTGAATCAAATTCAATAAATAAAAATAAAAAAAATATACCAATTTCTGTTAGGTTGTGAATGCAATGAAAGGAATACAGAAATAAATAAAGAAATACATTTATCCTGATCTAATATCTGTTTTCAGCAGACTTATTTCAAATAAACTCTAATGAAAATGGCATGCAATGTGACAATAGTAAGACTATGTTTATACATTGCGAAAGTGTCTTCTATTAAAATATTGTATCAATTTCATCTTTTTCAGCTTAACATTTTTCCCCCACAATTAAAAATAAAAGGAGTTCATTTATACAAATGTAGGCTGCTAAATGGCAACCATCATTAATAGTACCCATGGCAAATGGCTTTTTAAAAATTTTTGCAAGTGTATAGTAGCCGGTATAGTTGTTAGTTATAGTTTAAAATTATTAAATTTCATCCACATAAACATGAGTAATGCTTTAGGAACAGCAATGTTGCAACATATCATTTCATACATTGTACGTCAATCTATTAATTCATTCTTATGTCAGTCAAAGTTATGCAGTTGTGAATATTTTAGATCACTGTTAATGACATTTAAACATTTCAGCAAATTAAAATGGATGCCTTAGAGTATTTTAATATAATTATAATAAATTAATTTTTTCTCAAATCAGTGAAAGTCATTTGAATTTCAAATTTTCTCTGTGGTTTGATAAAACTTCTAAAATATCTTTAAAAGAAGCACCACACAAATTAACAAACAGATTTGAATCATTATCAAATTAAGAAGTTAAACAGTAACAAAAAATATACAAATTTGAGAACAAAAGATTTGGACTCTTGATATGAATAATGTTTTTGTAATGGACTCTTGATATGAATTTCAAAACAACGAAACACAATATTAAACATTTTAATTGTGGATTTGAACACAACTATAATTTTTCTCTTTATTTAGGAAAAAAAATTTAGGAAATAATGACATTACTTTCTGGCAAAAGTGGTAATTGGTTTTTCAAATTTTTATCAGTTACAATTGCAAAAACATGCTTTCTGAAATATCATCCCATTAATACATAATTTTAGAGCAAAGATGTGGGTTTATAATAGAAAGTAGTTAAAAAAAACATCATTAGTATTTACTAATTTAAGTAATGAATATGGATGAAGTATCACTAAGCAAAACATGGTGGCCAGATAAATAAGTTCAAAATGAGAAAAATTATTATAAAATGACAAAAAATGTTAAAACCCTATGAAGATCAACTACAAGTCTATTTAAAGCCTAAAACTCTAACTTAAGAACAAAATTATATCCCACAATTACAGAACAAAATGAGTATTTAAGAAAACTATTTGTAAATACAAATCAAAGCAGCTAGATTTATCTGGCTCAATACTAAAAGAAACCATTTGGTCACTTTCAAGGCAAATGAAAATAATTCTGAAAGTATATTCTCCTTTATGAATGTATTTGTACACTATTATGTTGTATGTGTACATGTATATTTTGTAAAGTGACATTGGAAGAATTATCAATTAGTAGTGATGGGAATGGGCACAAGAAGTTCATGGATATTAATATATGGATATCAAATACAAAAGGCAAAGATCCATTGCCCATAATTTATTTGGTTATATCAAATTAATGTATAAATTTAAATATTGTTATTTAATTTAACACTATTTTCCCCACAGTCATAATAAATATTTGAAACTTTTAAATGCATTCTTTTATTTTATAAGTAATTACTGTTGGAAAAAATAATTTTTGTAACACATTGTTTCAAATTTTACAATTATTTCTATGGAGCAGCATCTTTCCTCTCCAAAGATGACAAATGTTTCTACATTTTTTTAAATTAATTTTAATGGACAACTTTAGAAGAAATAATTTTGGTTTGCAACTTTATCTTGTATTCATATATTAATTTGGATAGATGTATTATGGTAGGGCTACTTAATATGAAAAAAAATAAAATTGACTCCCAAAAAATAACAACTTCAATTAAAAACATTTAAGTCATGAAAAGCAGAAGTTTGAAAAAAACTGAAACAATAATAATATATTATGAAACAAATATTTTCTCAAATTTATCACTACATGTTGAATGTAATTGAGAAACAATGTTTCAAAATAGCGTTGGTTTAAAATTATTGAAATAATAGTTGTCTAGATGAAAGGTGCCTGTAACCTTTAGAACATTTTATCTATGTATCTGATTCACATTCTGGAATATGTTCTTGCCAACTGTAGCTGAGGATGTTAATAAGGTAGATGTGTATCCAAACAACAACAAAATGAGTAAAGGGAGAGTTTTTTCTGTAGGTAATACTTAGTAAAATCACATATCATAATAAACTGCAAGTGTCTTTTGGAAGGAAGATTATTTACAATTCAAATTTAAAGAAAGGGCCTCCTCAGATTACCTTCTGCTTTATGAAGTTAATACATTTTTTTGTTGCTGGAAGTAATTATTGATTATCAAGGGTTATTCTTATTAGGATTGCAAAATGTTACTATATCAACAATAATCAATATATTTTGTAGAAGTTAGTCCTTACAAGAGAGTGCAGTTTCTTAAAGTAGCCTACATAGAAAAGTTATTAGCGGGAATTGATAGACTGTTTTTTGGTAATACAGTGTAGTGAACATTTTCATTTTACAGAGAAAAATGTTGTCTACAGTAGTTGTGGGCGGAGTTTTGAAGGCATCTTACGAATAATTGTTGTTTCCCCAAGACATTTCCTTCCTTAGTGCTCCCCATTCGACACAGATCACGCACGCCATCTAGAGGAGAAAGTGAAACTTACGGCATGAATACTCACGCGGGATGCCGACATTCCTCCCTCCAGACCCTACGCCAATGATGGTTTCCATGGGGACCTCCGTGCGGGGGATGCTGACGGCGTGCGGCGGCAGGTAGATGGGCTCCAGGTTGCCGAACGTGCACTCGCCCGAGATCTGCTTGTGGCACACGGCGTGCGACTGCGACGCAACACACAAGTGCGCTCTCGTGAGGCGTACGGCCGCAGGTAAGAACACTTTGCGGAGACAAGGACCAGCCTCTCTCTCAGTGGCTTAGCTAGAGGGTGGAAGGTGGCGGAAGCGACTCATATTTATGGATGGTAATACACAATCGCCTTTCTGTTTTCTCCTCCTGCACCATCGCCCCCTTCTCCTCCACAGCCCAGTTCACCTTTCGTGGGTCTCAAGTGCAGTAGAACTCCAAGTATCCGAACTGATTTAGGGAGCAATACATTATTTAATAAACAATTGAACTTGTGACTATTTACATTTTTCTAGATCTTATGTTTGTTAAACTTAATTTCAAGAATTTAAGTAGACTTTTTTCTAGCTCTGGCGTCTTCTTTGCGTGTCTAATTGCTGAGCATTAATCAATCATTTGAACTTCTGCTTAACCGAACCGATCCGATCTCAATTAAGTTCCGATAATTGGAGAGTTTATATGATGATTCAGTAAAATCATCCCACCTCCCAGCCTCAGTACGACTCCTTTTACTAATGAATGACAGGACCCAGGAATGCCTCAGAGCGGCTCATATTCTAGCTACGCTACCGATATCTCCTGTGATCATTACGCTACATCCAAGAAAGGTTGTTTTGAAACTTAATTTGCATATTTTTTACTTGTATTCCAAAAACCTGCCACACTTTATTAAACAACTTTATCAATCGGCGAACTAATTATGTAGCAAGTAAATTAAATTGTGAACCGTCATGTAAATTGAAGTAACATTTTCTAACTTTAATTATATGTAAAATAATCTGAATTAGAAATTGGCGCAGTAAAGGCCTTAGTACTGGCAAACAGTGCTCAACCGTTGGCCAGTACTGGCTGCCGGTGTTTGGTCGGTGGTACAAAGCCAGTACTGGTTGTCGATGCATGGCCGGTGGTGCAAAAGACAGTACTGGCTGTCGATGCATGGCCGATGGTATGAAGCCAGTACTGGCAGTCGATTCATGGTCGATGGTGCAAAGCCAATATTGGCTGTAGATGCATGGCGGATTGTGCAAAGCCAGACTTACACATCACGTCACCCTGATAACACTGTACTGTTGCAGGACTAGTGTATTTTGTGAATTAAAAGCATCTACTTTTATACTCGAGAAGATTCAATTAAATCGGATATTTTCATCTCCGGAAAAGTGTAAAAAATCACAGGTGATCTATTTCAATTTCCGTTATCTTCCCGAGAAGTTGGTTTGATGCTCTTTGAAAAATGTAGTAATAATATACAGAAATTTAGTATTAGTAACATAATTACAAAATGTATGTATACCACTGTAACCGGCTACAAAGTAGCAATTACTTTATTACATTAAAATTGTTTATCTTCTCTAACATACGCGGGCAAAATTGTATTTTTTCATATGTAAATAACATTTTTCTATGCGTTAATAAAAATATAATAATTGTAATAATAAATAGATAATTTTAAAATAATTTACACGCATTCTTAAAGTGTACAGTGTATTCTTGTCCTGCGTCAGCATTTTAACCGGTTCAAAAAATTAACCAGTACTGGGCCAGTACTTATTACCACTCATCGGCATGTGAAAGGTACCTTTCGCAGCGCTGTACGTACGACGCTTTAACGCTTTCGTACGCTTTAACGTTAAAAGCGCCAAGGTTATCGTTAACTGTTAACCGTTAAGGTACCTTAACTGTTAAAATTTTACCAGCGCTGCGACAGTACTGATTACCAACTGTCGTTCGCCAGTGCTGGCCCAAGCACTGTTCACAAAAACAAGCAGTACGGCGCCAGTACTTATTGCCAAGCATCGGCATCTCAACGGTTAAAAAAATATACCAGCGATGCCACAGTACTGTTTACCCACTGTTGTTCGCCAGTGTTGGCTCAAGCTTGCGCCGTTTATCAGTATCGACAGTACGCGGGAATTTCCACCTGGGTATTATTGATTATAACTATTCCATTCCTTACATAATTTATGTATTCTATTTAATTCCTTGAATAAATGAACAAAATTTGTGTAAACGCAAAAGTGATTTTACGTGAATTTTTGTGACATGCGTTATGTACATTTACTCTTCTACTGATATTTCTAAACTCGGCAAGTTGAACTTGCGAGTTGCAAGTTGACTTGTGCAAGGTCATCAGCGAATATAAAAAAAACAACAACAAAAAAACAACAACAAAATTGGGTATCAGCGTCCATTTAGCAAATCATAGCAAAATTTAATATTTAATCGATTTCTTGGCAAAGGTGTTCTTGTGATCGTATAAATAGTGAAAAGATATTATGAATAATTTCATTTTTAAACTCAACAATCAATAATTTTTCAATAAACAATTATAAACGATAACATAACTGCAATACACAACGATAACACAACTTGCAATAACTAACAATCTAATTGTGACTAACAATTTCAACATAAGTCAATACACAAGGAGACATGGATGTCCCCTGAACAAGTTAAATTTAACCAAATTGATCATATAGTGGTGAAATCGAGACGTTCGAGACTGATACAAGATGTCCGCGACGACTAAATGTGACACATCATTTCCTTCTTTAAACGATTGTGAAACAGAAACTGGCGAATCAAACATTTACTAAGTCTAATGTATGCAGGTGGAATAAACAGAACTTACAGTACCAAATAAATATCAAAGAATATCAGAATGAATTAAATCAGAAAATAGTAGAGAAACCTAGAGAGGAGAATATAGAAAGAAAATGGGAAAATATAAAAACTAGCAGAGTAGAGGCCGCCAATGAGGCCTTTGGAAAAGAGAAAGGAAGAAGAAGAATGGTGGAGAGGGATTCTGGAACTCAAGAAAAAGTGCGCAGATAATCTTTTCCCCCCTATGTCACATACAGTTTTACTGTTTTTTTACTGAATAAATCTAAATCTATGGAATGAATAATGAATCAAATAAGCTCGGGATAAGAATAAAGCAAGACAAAAACTCTAAATATAAGAACTAGAGCATCTATGGAACAATATAAGATTAAGGACCAGTTGTACGTACGCGGAATAAACTCGGGATTCATTTTTATCACTCTGTTAGCGTTTAAATCGGTTGTACGAACTCGGGATATAGATTAGCTGAGGAATAAGGTGTTAAGTTATCCTGTGATCTCTCACGTAGGTTAACAGCGTATTAACCTATAAACCGCATATTGTCTGCCGAGTAATAGGAAAATCTGTAGCATATCTTGACTGAAGTGTACGAAATTCTGGGGTATTTGTTTTCTGACAAGAGTGAAGAACAACAAGTACTCCAGATAATTTCAAAAGCTGAGGAGAGTGAGGAGGATGTCAGACTTGCAGATTGAATATGACCATTTTTATTTTTTGTATGCTTTAGATTAATTAAGCAAACTTGACGCTTATAAATAACACTGAACACAATACAAACAGAAAAGTCCACGAAATATTAGTTTTTGTATCAAATCTATTCTATTATTTATTATATTTGGAACCTACAAATTGACAAATGTGCGGCTTGGTGCAGTATAAAAATATTACGTAAACGTTATGTTAGTCTTATAGGAATCAGTTTGAAACGCCAAAAATCCAGCCCCTACTTACATTGAGATTATGCTACTCGATCATTTATAATTTGCATTAGAGATTTTTGTGGGCTGGATAAAAGTACCGCAAGTAGAATAATTAGAAAATTAGCCAGGCAATAGCCAAATTAGCCCCAACATTTATATACTTCCCCAAAAGTGCACTGGAAAAAAAATCGTGCGCGACAAGGGTTTTACGAGAAAGCAGCTTTCCCAAGAGTAACTCGTGCTATTGCCTACACCCACATTAAAATACAATGCCCACAAGATTACACATTGATATATTACACGAGAGAGAGAGAGAGACAGAGAGAGACAGAGAGAGACAGAGAGAGACAGAGAGAGACAGAGAGAGACAGAGAAAGACAGAGAGAGACAGAGAGAGAGAGAGGGAGGGAGAGAGAGAGAGAGAGAGAGAGAGAGAGAGAGAGAGAGAGAGAGAGAGAGAGAGAGAGAGAGAGAGAGAGAAATGGCACATTATATGTTACTCACTGAAATACTGTTGCTCGCTGAAATTTCATGACAAAACTATTTTTAATAACACATCTCAAACCACAATTTTAAACTTTCTGGTCGGCACTGTCAGGTACCATTAGAGCCCGTGTTAAATTTATGGTCTTCTTACTCGAAAACTGGGTGGTGAAATCGATTTAAATTCTACCACAACATAGAAGAACCTCAAATTTTTCGATAAACATAATAAAGTTTTCTTCGACTATCGCCAATTTTGCCAACAAACTTTCATTCCGCTTATTTGATGGTTACCGGTGAAGTAAAGTTTCGTACAACTTGTCGCCCTATTTAACACAGTATTAAGCAATACTTGAGGATTAGTAAACACAGTTTTATCATTCATTCGTACAACCGGCCCTAAGAAGAAAAAACATCGGAAACTCTGCCGAAGGAAAAAAAAAATTATGGGCTGAGGATAGAATGACAGAAATAGAAAAAGGAAGAAAATAAAATGAATCTAAGAAATTTTGTAAATAAATAAAGAACTACTCAGCTAAACCACCAGGGCACATTGGAGACTGTAGAGATTTACAAGGAAATCTTGTAACTGAGAAAGGATTTTTTAAAGACCTGGATGGTATACTGCCAAGACCTTAATAAAGTAGTAGGTTCCATTGAATCTAATTAAGAAATCATAGAACAAAGCGAAGGGCGAGATACAGACCTATATAAGCGCACACATAGAGAAGTCACTGAAGTAATGAAGAAAATGAAAAGAAATAAAACTCCAGGTTCAGATAATATCACTGCAGAATTGCTAAAAGCTGGATGAAACATATTAATAGAGCGAATCCATAATCTCATTAAAAAATATGTATAAGAACAAATACCTGAGGAATGGATGGAATACAATAATGTCCAATTTACAAAAAAAGAATACCCCAAAAGACGTGATAATTATAGAGGTA